CCGCCCACGTGGACGTAGGTTGAGCGGCGGCTGCCCCCACCCCCGTGTGTCATATCGACCCACTTGCACACAGCCAAAAGGCAAAGAGGCAAAGACTCATTATTTCAATTAGGATGCGGCAGTAGAGATTGGAGTATTGAATTAACCATGGCCAATACGGATGCGGCAGTAGAGATTGGAGTAAAACTAGAGAGATTTATCAGCTCAAATATTTTAAAAAAACAATAACAATAACAATAACATAGTTACATACAAATATAATAAATAAAATTACTGTAAGAAAATAATCATATTTTTTATAGTTGAAGTTCACACCGAAGTTGATAACCCATAGCCGTAACATAAAAAAAAATAATAATACTCCTTTGGGCATCTAACTTCGTCGTTTCTGGTCTCAATTTCAGAGAGAAGGGGAGAGAGGGGTGGGGGGGAGAGGGGTAACCGAAATCGTCACGTCCTACTGGCGGGAACACGGTAAGCCAGACAATTTCGGTTCAAAACACGTCGAAATTGTGGCCAGGAACATCAAAGTTAAGTACCCAAAGGGATAATACAAAAATAATTAAAGTCCATATCAAAGTTAATAATTAATAATCCTAACATGTAAAAACGAAACGTCCGTAATTGAAGTTCATAATTAAAGACGATACATGAAGTACTACGGCAAAATATATACCACATCCACGTGGGCGGCCTTGTACGCGAGAGGTTCTGAACAGGGGGAGTTGTAAGTAGGAAGATACAAAATGAATTGATATCTTTTTTGTTTTTTTTTCGTTTTTGCGCTCTGATAACTATAAAAAGATGATAATTGAAGTACCACGTCAAGCAAAACCAAACCCAAAAAAAATAAAATAACGAGGCTGATCGTATCTCTCACTTTTTCACCTTTGTACCACTCCATACTCAACTACCCTTGATACGACCGACGAGATCAAATTCGATCACCACATAGTACCGCATAAACAGCATAGCACATAGACTAAGTACGTACTTGGCATAGCAACCACATCAACTTGTAGACAAAGTCCTCAACATAGCATTATTCACTATTACACCTATTACACATAGTATTACACANAGTACGTACTTGGCATAGCAACCACATCAACTTGTAGACAAAGTCCTCAACATAGCATTATTCACTATTACACCTATTACACATAGTATTACACATAGTATTACACAGTATTAACACAGTATTGCACATAGTCTAATACTTACTATAATACTTCGTATTATATAATTGCCGAAAAAAGAGATGTCATAGCTCCCACACATAGTATTACACACCGCATAAGACATAGTATTACACTTAGTATTAGATTGCCAAAAACACTTAGTATTACACATAGTATTACACTTGGACATAGTATTACACTTAGTGTTACACTTGGTATTAGATTGCCAAGAACACTTAGTATTACACATAGTATTACACTTGGTGTTACACTTATAATTGCCACACTTAGTATTGCCACACTTAGTATTACACATAGCTCCCACACTTAGTATTACACATAGTATTACACATAGTATTACACATAGTATTACACTTAGTGTTACACTTATAATTGCCAAAAAGAGGCGCACACGTAAGTGCACAGAGATACTCAGTAGTCAGAGAGAGACTAAGTACGTACTTGACATAGCACTCCCCAAAGTTCTACACATAGTAGCAGACACAGTATTTCATCTAGTACGAGTCGAATCGGGACTAGACATAGCATGTCACATAATGCGACGCCACAAGCAAGTCCCCATGGATCCTCCACAGGCACGCACGTTCGTCTGCAATCACCATATCCAGACAGACAGGGATCGGGAATCGACTCTAATCGACTGCAGACCCCGATCAAGGACCCATCCGCCCAGATTCGCTGAGATCAACAGGGTCGCAGACAGACAGGGATCGGGACTGTCAAGAGGTAGTGCGCCGCACGCACCACATTAACAATCCACCCGCCCCCTTGTTTACCTACTCCCTACCCCTCTTCTCTTTCCCTCCCCCTTCCCGCAAACCTTCTTTCGTCTTTCACTCCCTTTTCCCCTCTCATCTTCTTCGCTCGCTTCTTTTTCCTATTCTTTTTTGTAAATTCGAGATTCGCTTGTTTCCAATTTCTTCCTTTCTTCCTTTCTTCCTTTTCTCTTGTTACTCTTATCTACCTCTTCCTTTCTTTCTTTTTCTTTCAGAATATGACTCACATTTTTTTCATTGGAGTAAAACTTTGAGCTCCTCTTCCTTCCTGCCTCACCTACTCTTCCCAAATTTTTTATTTCCTCCATCTAACCGATCCCCCCCCAAAAAAAAAATAATAATGGTTGATGGCGATCCCCCCCCAATAATGGTTTTTATTCCTCCATTTAACAGATCCCCCCCCCCCCCTCCAAAATAATGGTTGATTGCGATCTCCCCAAAAAATGGTTGATTGCGCTCGTACATATGGAAGGCTTCGCCAGTGATGCTGTTTCGACAAAAGAAACAATAAAAAAACACGCTTGTATTTTTTGTATACGTATATATATATACGGCGCCTCAGGGAGGAAATGAAATCAAGAGGTGGGGTGTGGATATCACATCACGAACGGCCTGCAGGGGGGTTGCCCTGAAAGCTGACCCCTCCGAGCACATCCCGACCTCGGCCCTCTTCCTCAATGGAAGACCGCCGGGGGGAGAAGGRGGGGGGGGGGGGAGGAGGAAGGGAGGGAAAAGAGGACCCAATAATGGTCACTCAGTGATTTATCAGCGCACGATCGTTACTCAACGATTTGTCGGCAACATCCCAGTCCCGTCTCCCCCCCGTCTCCGCCGCGCCCCCCATCCCCCCGCAGCAATTTTCGTCGGTAGGGCTAAAGGGGGGCCAACTTGCGGCTGATTACAGCAGCAAGAAGGGTGAGACCACGCGCACACACACGCACGCCGCCGCACGCACGCACGCACGCACGCACACTCACACGCACACACGCAAACAAAAAAACAAAACAAAACAAAACAGAGAAACAAGAACAGCGAGGATTTCTTTTCCTTTCGGATCAGTAAGGAGTACACGTCAGAGAGGATTTTTATAGGGACAGGTGTTCTCCTAGACAAGCAGATCAGAGATAAGGCCGGCGATGAACAAAAAAGATTGTATACATTACGCGGGGAAGAAGCGTGATTTCCTTGCAGATCAGAGAAAAGGTCTGCAAAAGGATACACAGCTCGGGCTCCAATAATTTCCTTGCATGTTGGTCCAAGTGGCTAATGGGGATCATGATTTCCTGCTTTGCACCGTCACCAACCTCTTCCCCTCCCCCTGTCTTCCTTGCTCTCTCTCTCTCTCTCTCTCTCTCTCTCTCTCTCTCTCTCTCTCTCTCTCTCTCTCTCTCTCTCTCTCTCTCTCTCTCTCTCTCTCTCTCTCTCTCTCTCTCTCTCTCTCTCTCTCTCTCTCTCTCTCTCTCTCTCTCTCTCTGTGTGTGTGTGTGTGTGTATGTGTGTGGATCTCCGAAACGTGTCTCAGCACCAGACGTCCGAGCTCCAACAGCAGAGCAGGCAGAATGAAGGGAGGCCAACAGATCAACCGACCCTCACATCTCTCTCTCTCTCTCTCTCTCTCTCTCTCTCTCTCTCTTTTCCCGCCAGCGGCTGCTAGGACTGCAGAACAGTTCGGCGCCGGCTGGATGCGAACGAGTTTGCACAAGACACGGTTCAACCGACCGGCCAACCGATCTACCAACAAATCAACCGACAGACCGACCTGGCGCGACCGGTCTCTGAGATCACTGGCCAACCGACGGACATGCCGCCTTACCACTGCGCGCCAATGACTCTATGGGCTGCAGAATCGACCAACCACAACCGCCTAAGATCATCACCATCCCCCTCCTGCCCCAGCGCGCCAACACAGCATAACGCAACGAAGGGGCAGCCTCTGCGCCTAAGCCTGCCCCCGTGCACACCCCGCCCTCACGTCCCCCCCAGCGGGAAACCCGCGGACGAGATTAAGCGCACTGCCACACCGCACAGCAAACTCTTACGAGTGCTGATACCCGCCCTCCCTCCCTCCCTCCTCTTCCTTCTCATCGTTATCGACCTTGCGCACCTCTCTCTCTCTCTCTCTCTGTGTGTGTCTGTGTTCGGCTTCAAGACAAGCCACAGCCGATCAGCACAATCCCACCCCACAGTCCATGTCAATTCACGAGAAACGACCGCTCTAATGAGGGCCACGTGCACGTCGTCTACCAGCGGGGGATTTTCCCCTCACCGCCACCAGGGCAGTACTCCGCTTCGATTCACCCCCGCAATCCCACTCCCCTTCCTCCTTCCTCACGTCCTGGAACAAACCCTCGCACCCTCGCCTTCCGTGCTCAATAGACTTGTCGCTCCTGCGGCGAGTCCTGCCTGCCGTTGGGACTTCTTCGTTGCCCACCGTGTCGCCGCTATCCCTCACCAGTTTCGACGCTACGGGCGGTGGCCTCCTTTTCACCACCCCTCCGACCATGGACTTAACCCCGCACCCCGCACCCCTATATATAATCTCGACTTACCAACCTTCTCCCCTGCCCGGCGAGGTCCCACTCTCGCGGACGGGTTATTCATCCAGGGCCGTAGATTACTTAGATCGATGGCCAGAAGCTAAGAATCGAAGTGATGAGTGCCACCTCCGCCTGGGCAACGGTATTTGCCGCGGCCAGCCGTTGCATAGTAAAAGACGGACTCCACACTAAAACTCAAGTACAGCGATGACGTTATGCTGCTTTTCATCCCTTCCTTGCCACGCCTCCTGCGGTATCCCACCTTCCTTCGCCTCCGTTCATCGTCCGATAACTTTCCCAGCACCGGCAGAGACCACGCCCACTGCTCACATCCCATCGCCCGTCCATCATACTCCTGCCCCCCCCCCCCCCCCCCCCCCCCCCCCCCCCAAAAAAAAAAAATGGGTTGTGTGTAGGCAGGAAACGTACGGCTGCGTTTTACTGCAGTGCCGGTTCTGTCCGCAAGGTTGGCTTTTCTCTTTTTGTGCAGGCAACCAGTGGGAAGTGGGGTCTCAACTAGATTGCTGTCTTGGAACTGGTGCACGAGATTAGGTGGGTTTTGGGGGCAGATTAGGACCCTGCCAAGGGAAAAACGAAGCAAATTGTGGGCAGGAATTGTGGCCCAGGTCTGCACCACATTCCATTCATGAAGTTGGGCTCTCTCTCCGCCCACGCCCGCCTCTCTCTCTCTCTCTCTCTCTCTCTCTCTCTCTCTCTCTCTCTCTCTCTCTCTCTCTCTCTCTCTCTCTCTCTC